AGAGGGGGGGAAGGTCTGCATCTCCTTGTCAGAATACTGCTTTTGTGAGAGTCGATTTTTCTGTCTGTAGAAAAGGGAGCGTTATGCCTGATGGCTCCCTCCCTGATGGGCAGGGAGGCAGCCAAAAATTGGCCTCTATCCCACCTCTGATCTGGAAAATGGGGATGACAACAGTTTGAGGTGGAGGGGGCTGGAAATGCTTAAAGAGAAGCAAAAAATACCTTTCTCTGTCTCTGTCCCCCTCTCTCAAAGTCATTAGTGGTTTCTCTCTGTGTCGTTGACATGATTCCATATTCTTATCTGTCTTTATCCTTTCATCTACAGTATAACTGCTGAGCCAACACCCCCAACCGAGTTTCCCGAGACCCCACCATCCCACAGCACCACCCCCCTGGGGTTGGCCATTTGTTCCATTTTTATCAGCTGGAAACATGAATTGGTCCCTGTGCCTCCCTGAAAGGCTAGCTCCGTCCCACTGCTAAGCACAACATTGTAATTTCTAATTTTAGCGATGCCTCAGGATTTCTTTGAGATTTCACAAAGCCCAGGTCCCTTGAACTCTTTTCCTTGAATGGGAAGAGAATGACCCACTGATGGAGAAGCACAAAGTGCTGGCGGGAAGAGAAGTGAGCAGGGAGTGTCTGGGGGGTGGGGGCGGGGCCAGGGAGGGAGGGAGGTCAGACCCGCTGGGAGGATCTCTCCCAAAAGAAAAGCAAAAAGCAAAGCGATGCTTTGCTCTGAGTGGACTGGGTCCCTTCAGGTTACCCTCCTTTTTTAAAAAAAAAGATTTTATTTATTTATTTGTCAGAGAGAGAGAGAGAGGGAACACAAGCAGGGGGTGTGGCAGAGGGAGAGGGAGAAGCAGACTCCCCGCTGAGCATGGAGCCCAATGCAGAACTCGATTCCAAGACCCTGGGATCATGACCTGAGCCAAAGGCAGATGCTCAACCAACTGAGCCACCCAGGCACACCCAGGTTACCCTACTTTTAGGCAACTTAGGGGATATCTGCCTTTTTTCCCAGTCAAGACTCAGATGAACTAAATTCTAAGGCACTAAGTACATGCAGTTCGTTGGTGAAGTCATATTTGTAAATCTGCACATATTAGTACTTTCTCAAGGGCAGGTTTTCTGGGCACAGGAAGGAATATTTGGATGGAACCAATGCATTTTTCCCCCAGAGAAAAGACAGTCCCCTGATCAAATACCATCTATCCAAGTTGTCTGTGGTATACATCTACCCTTTTGCTGGGATTTGCTCATGTCTCATAACTTTTTAAAAAATCAGGATCCAAAAAAAAAAGTACTACCAAATTTCCTGAGCCACCACAATCCCATGAGAATTACACGGCCTTGCTTGCTGGTATGGAAAAAAGATCCTCGGATATCTATAAACTCAGCCTCCAGACAATAAAAGGGAGACATGACATGGAGAAAGGAGGGGATGCAGGGAATCCAAGTTTTGCAAAATAATTAGTGCTTGCTGATTCTCAGTAAACCAGGCATCACCCGTGTGCAGTGTGCACTTCGGAGCTGAGGGACAAGAGAGGAAAAGTCAAGGGAAGAAGCCTTGAAAGGCACCAACATAGATCAAAGATCTGCGGAAATGGGGCCCTTTGGATTGAGCAGGGAGAGGAGTGGTTTCCTTAAAAAAATAGAAAAAGGAACGCTTTTTGTCACAAAGATGGGGAGTCGCCCTGGGATAGCCTAAACAAGCTGACGACACTACCAATTCTGCTCCCCTTCAGACGTGGATGCCGTGTGCACCATGATGGAGGAATGGACGAGGGAGTACAGTGACGAGGAACCAAAGCCTATGTCTGCCCCTTCCAGAAGGTTCTTACCCTTGGCCCTGGCCCTACTCAGAGAATGAGAAACCTCCAGAGCAGTAAAAGAACATGTTGTATACCCACAGCAAAAATCGGATCCACCAGATCCTAGCGCTAGAAGTTGCTTGGCTAGCACCTTAGAAAACCATAACCCTGTCCAAAAAAAGAAAAGAAAACCATAACCCTAGTTACAAAATGATCCAAAAAGAGACCCAGGCCAGTTAGAGTAGGGAGACATCGTCCCAGCAGTTTTTTTTTTTCCTTCTCTGTGTGACCTGGGCCAAGACACTTGCCCCCATTTCTTCATCTGTGACATGGAAGGGACTGGGCTAGACCATCTCCATGCCCCCATCCCCCGGTTATATTCTTGAACATCAAGACCCAACCTGGTCCATTAAAGGGAATTGGAAGGAGGCCTATAGATGTTGACAGGTCTTTGCAAATAGGTTGGCGTTCCCATTGCAGGCTTGGCGGAAGTATGACACAGACAGAAGTGGCTACATTGAAGCCAATGAGCTCAAGGTAGGATGGGCCTTGGGGAGGGTATGGAAGGCACAGAGAATGGGACTGAGGCCAGAGCGGTGGTAGGTTTAAGGAACCCGGGGAGGGAGGAGATGTTGGGTGAGGAACATGGGTTTATGGTCTGCTCAGGAACACTTAAGCCCAGCTCTGAATCGGTGGACATGTTCAGGACGGCCATGTGAATGAGTAACATGGAGCCGCAGGGCCAGGGAGTTGGACCGGACTACACTCCTTCGCACATCAGTGCCCAGGACAGGCACCTTCAGGGCGATTCCAGCAGATTGGCCTCCTGGCCTGTACATCTACCCCACCATTCCTCTGGAACTAGGGATCCCCAGGCACTGCTTAGCCCTGTGTCCTGGGCTCTCTGAGGTGCCAGAGCCAGTTTCCACCACCTCTCTTAGGGGCTGAAGTTGTATCCAGGAGCTACCTCCAGGCCTTCATGGTCATTCCCCAAGCATTAGGGATTAGGGAATTAGGAGGGATGTAAGTCATACAAATGGTAGACCTCGGAAAACAATGTTGACTGAATGAAGGAACAAGTACAAGGGAGGGACTGACTGAGTCAGGAGCTCTGAAGAGACCTTTTGTGTTCTAGGGATTTCTGTCTGACCTGCTGAAGAAGGCGAACCGGCCATATGATGAACCCAAGCTGCAAGAATACACCCAAACCATAGTGAGTGGACAAAAGTGTCCCTCCCCCCTCCAGAGGCACAGAACTCGGGCCCCAAGCCAGCGGGATTCTGGGTCTCCAGGGTCTTTTGTTGGCTGAGTCTTCAGGCCCCGGTGAGGTGACTCCCAGTGGCAGCTGACAAAAGGGATGCTGGGTCTCTGGCCCCACACCCCCTCTGTCTGAGATCCTCACTGAGCTAAGAGAGACTGGGAGCATCTGTTTCCATGACAACCTCCCCAGCTCTGGGAGAGGATGGGCTTGGAGAAGGTGGGCCTTTGCTGCTGGCCGGCCATGCTTCTGGGGCCCTCGCCCCGAGAAAGGGAGAGAGGATCAGGGACCCATTTAGACCATGCTGGTCTCTGGCCTCCAGGTGACCTCAGAGGGGGCAGAGCACACCCACCCATCTCCCTTCCTCTTCAGTACAAGGGATGGCAGGTCAGGGTCCCCCAGGAGAGGTCAAAGCAAATCACCCAGGCACCTCTGTCTGTCCCCAACAGCTACGGATGTTCGACTTGAACGGGGATGGCAAGCTGGGCCTCTCGGAGATGTCCCGGTAAGTGCCTGAGCCCACCCCAGGGTCACTTTTCCCAGGACCTCTGAAGACCGTTCCTGCCACCCTCCCTGGCTCGAAGACCAGTCGGTGGGGGGAAAGTGACGGGTCAGGTGTCATGAAGCTCAAGACCAAGCTAGAGAGTGTCAGCACCTCAGTGTGTCCACCTCCCTCCTTGTAGAACTTGCCACAAGTTCCTCCGTGCTCAGAGACGGTTTCCAGAATTGCGGGTGCTACCTCCACATCCCCCCACGTCCCCGTTTTTCTGGCCTCTGCCCTGTCTCCTAAGCTCTGCTCTAACACTTCCTTTCCAGACTCTTGCCTGTACAGGAAAATTTCCTGCTTAAATTTCAGGTAAAAGAGCCTCTGCTTTTCTTCACTTCCTCCCTTCCCTCATCCCCACGCACTTCACTCTGCCACCCTCCTGTCCGCCCTCCAGCACACAGGTGCGCACACATGCGTGCACACGCTCGCTCACACACACGCAGGCACACGTGCTCGCTCACTTGTACACACGTGCATACACGCACACATACATGTGCATGCACAGACATGCACACGCATGCACACACACACACCCAGGCTTTTGCTTCTCTCTTTAATACCTCGGGCCTTACAGGGCATGAAGCTGACCTCAGAGGAGTTCAATGCAATCTTCACATTTTACGACAAGGTAAGAGGGAGGACAGCGTGGGAGGGAAAAGCAGGGGCCCCATCAGCAGGGGAGCCCCCAGCCACATGGCTCCACTCTGTCCTTCGGAGTAAGGAGGAGCTCAGTACTGCTCCCTCGCCGCCAGCTCATAATTTCACATCGGAGCCAAGTGTTTTGCTAGGAAGTTGGGAGGGAGAGGACCCCCTTACCGCCCGTCACCCCTTCCTTTGCTGCCCCCACCTGTGTGACTCCAATAGTCTCCCTTATAACCAAAGCATGGGGGGTAAGCTTTGAATAGCCCCTGTGTTCATCCTGACATCTTAGGGAGTTAGCTAAATGCTTCTGGAACCTCATTTATATTTTCAATGCAAATGAAAAACACCGGGACGCACATTTGCCCTGAAGTGTCCCGTTCCTGCCTCGGCTGGGGAAGTCAGCAGTTAGGTGTTATTTTAACACCGCTCGGTGTGAACACCTGCAGAGTAGAGGGAAGGTCAGACTCTGCAGGCTCCCTGGGATGAGTTGGGGGAATCGGGAGGCCGGGTCAGGGGTGATGGGGCCTGATTCTAGAGCTCTGTGCTGCCCCTGCTCCCCACCACCAGGACGGCAGCGGCTACATCGATGAGAATGAGCTGGATGCCCTCCTGAAGGACCTGTATGAGAAAAACAAGAAGGTAAGCAACTGAGCCCTGAGGCCTAGGGCGGTGGCCCTGGGCCAGGAGAGAGGCTCCTGAGGGAGGGGGGAAAGGAACATGGGGTGCATTTTGCTCTCCTCTGATCATCCCTAACTAGGCAGCGCAGTTTGGGGGCTGTTGTTTTGTCTCTGGTTGGATGCTTGGTTGATTGGCTGATGTTTCTTTTAATTGCAGTAAAATACACTTAGCACAAAGTTGACCATCTTAACCATTTTTTGAGCGTACACTTCAGCAGCATTCAGTACATCCCTGTTGTTGTGCAGGCACCACCATCACGACGTCCAGAACACTCTTCCTCTTGCAAAACCGAAACTCTTCGTCCAGTAAACAACCACTCTCCATTCCCCCGGTCCCCGGCCCCCAGCCGCTCTAGGCACCTCCGAAACGGTGGCATCCAGGGCTTGTCTTTCTGTGATGGGCCTACCTCGCTGAGCATAATGTCCTCTGGGTTCACCCATGTTGTAGCAATGCCAGCGTCCTTCCTTTTTAAGGCCGAGTAATATTCCAGTGTTCGTGTCCACCACCTTTTATCTGTTCATCCCTCAACAGCTCCTCGGGGGTGTTCCCCCTGTTGGCTCTCTGGAGTGATACGACGGTGAAGCACTGAGAGCCTGACCGCCACCAGAAAAGACTTTTCCCACAAGGAGAGATTTGGGAGAACCTCTGAAACTAATATGTTATATGTTAATTAATTGAATTTAAATTTTTTTTTAAAAAGGAGAGATTTGGGAAAGGAGGGGCCGGTGGGGGGTGAAGATCTTTCTGTCTACCTCTCCCCCCAGCCTGTGCATGCATGCTCTCTCCCTCTCTCTCTCTCTCTCAAATGAACGGATAAAATCTTAAAAAAAATAAAAAATAAAAAATAAATGCAGGGTCTGGAGGTGGGCAAGAGGCTAAGATGAGCCACGGAAGCATTTGTTCCCCTCAAAGAAAAGGCAAAAGACAGAGAACCGAACTATTACTTTCCCTGGTTGGCGTTGCTTCCAGGATAGACCACAGGCATGGGCGGGCTCATCAGGAGGCCAGGGTCGGGGGCGACAGGGGGACCAGGAGCCCACTGCTGTCTTTGCAGCCGCCTTCCTTCACCTCCTGGAAAATGCCTTTCTCTGAGCAAATGGTTTTGCTGTTTTCTTTAATGAGATGATGAACACTCCATACTTCCTCGCGTTGTCTCACCACCTTGGCTGCCAGGCACAAGCTAAATTTACTGCTCAGTTTCAGGGGACAAAATTCGCTGCAGCCCCTGAGTCTGTCTCCCCTTCCAGCTGCTTGCTTTCTGACCACTTCATCTTTGTCCTGAATATCATTCTTCATTTCTTTCATCCCGCATTTATTTTTTTTTGTTACGTACAAGTACTTTTTGAAAGAGGCAGAAAATAAATTACAAGTAAGCACATACTTCTTAGGAAGAAGGAGGTCTTCACCAGGTATCTGAATTCAGCAGACTCTTTCCGGGCACCAAACTCTAGGAGAAAATTATTTATGCGCCCTTAATGTGTCCAAGGAGTGTTGGGCCTCTTAGTGGAAAATATCTTTAACTGTAATTGTATTAACGAGGCATCATTATTTTCCATATGGCCCTGCTCAACGCCTGAAGTTGTTCGACCCTGAAGGCAAGCATTAAATCTTGGGAGTGACCTGAATTTTCTGCTCATCACCTAACTAGGCTCTTTCTTTTTTTTTTTTTTTTTTAAAGATTTTATTTATTTGTGAGAGAGAGCCAAAGAGAGTACAAGCGGGGCGGTGGTGGGGGGGACGGGCAGAGGGAGAAGCAGACTCCCTGATGAGCTAGGAGCCTGACACTGGGCTCGATCCCAGAACCCCCGGGATCATGACCTGAGCTGAAGGCAGAGGCTTAACCCAACTGAGCCATGCAGGCGCCCCTAGGTTCTTTCCTAATTACCACGAAATACAACTCCTGTGGCCACACAGGTTCACTCGAGATGTGGAAACAAAAACAGTCAGGTGTTGGGGTTAGGAAGCAACTTGGAAGGGTGGAGAACAAGGATATTAATAGAGTTGTTTACCTGGGAGTCTTCCACCTGTACCGAGCTCAGGATGTAGCCGCGGGGTATGGAGAGCCTGAACCAGGAGAGGGAGCCAGGGGACTGGGACAGCAGCACCCGTGCTGGGAAGGGAGCAGCCGGCCGTTTTTTGTGAACCTCCATGGCAGATGCACATGCCGTTTGGATGGTGCGAGGTCTGTGATACGGATTCTGAGCTGATTCATGTTTGAGGCTCCTGAGGGACAGGCTGGTGAGATCAAACCTCAATATTTCTCACCACTCCTGAGGCCACTGCAGCTCAGTAAAGCCTTCCTCAGCTTCAAGCAGAACTTCTAGACATAGAAAGTGAGCAGCCCTCTCCCTTCATGCTGCTAAGATTCTTGATGCCACATTGAGTCGGGGCGGGTGGTTCTCCAGCTCTGGGTTGATATATGGGGTCCCCTCCCTGGCTCCTAATTTGAATGGTAGATAGTATTACAACTAGGTGATATTTCCAGGGACTTCCCAACTTCAGGGAAGATGCTCCCCAAAGCTAGCGACAGTCACATAGTGCTTCCAGGGTGTGTGGTGGCACAAAACCCGGAATCAGTAACATGGGGGGATGTCCTGAGACACAGTAAAGGACTGACCTCTGAGCACCAAAAAGAGAGGTGACCGAGGGCAGGTGAGCCAGGCAAAGAATTAGATAGACTTCGGGACTCAGGAAACTAAGGATATTTGTGGCTGTAGAGTTGGTCCAGTCCTTTAACAAATACCATAGTTTTTATGCTTCAGTTTTTTCATTAGCTGAAAGGAGATAAAGACCATCACCCTGAAAGGGGTGGTGGAAGGAAGGGAGGGAGGGAGGGAGGGAGGGAGGAAGGAAGGAAGGAAGGAAGGAAGGAAGATCTGCCAACAATTTCAAGACAAGAAGAGAGGAGGGAAGGAGCAGGGGAGGGAGGGAGTGTGTGAGCAAGGGAGAGAGGAAGGGAGACAAAAAGATAGTATAAGTGATGGATGGCTTTGCTGTATTTCAGACCTATTGGTTATTTGTATCCAAATCAATTATTGTAAAGCATGTATTCAACACAAGGCATATTAGGTACTGATGTTCTGTTTAATGTTGGCCTCCATTTTACATGAGACAGTGGCCATATGTCTGTGGGTCACCTGTCCTCATGGCCTCTGAAGGGCCACAGAAGCCACTGAACAATAAGTAGGCAGGTGAGCCTTGCTGCTGGGGAGGCAGGAGTTAGGATTCCTTCTTTAAATGGGTGAAGTTGAGGAAAGTATGGTCCTTGGGGTGGGCAGGCAAGACCAGGGAGCTTCCCCTGTGTTCTCTTCCTCACCTTCAAGGACCCATGAGGAGTACGGGAGGCCCAGGGAGCCGGGGACTTGATACAAGTCATGCAGAGATAGGGACTAGCCGATTTTGGAGGGCACGCTGTGTCAGGGGCTGTGCTAGACATTGTTCGAGTTCATCCCTCAGCTAACCATCCTAACACCTCAGTGAGGCAGACCTTGTTAATGTACCCATTTTACAGATGAGGCAGCTGAGCTGAAAGTCAGAAAAGATGAATACTTTCCCCAAAACAATGCAGCCAGTAAGAGAGAGAGGGTTTAATGCAGGGCTTTCTGACTCCAAAGCCCATGGTTGCTGGGATGGGGAGAAGAGAAAGGTTCTGGCGGATGTGTTTGTGAATGAGCAGATGGGACCCTCCGCTGGAGCCATCCAGTGAGGGGCTCTTACTCTCTCCCTGTGTCTCCTAGGAAATGAATATCCAACAGCTCACCACCTACAGAAAGAGCGTCATGTCCTTGGCTGAAGCGGGGAAGCTCTACCGCAAGGACCTGGAGATTGTCCTCTGCAGCGAGCCCCCCATGTAAAGGGGGGCCAGGGGCTGTTTCTCCGCCTCCCCCAAACCCTGCCCCCGCTGCCCTGCCACTTCTCCCCGGACCCCGAGATCGTGAGCGCTCCTCCTCCGCCCCCGCCACCTGCACACACCAGCCTGCAGAGCAGGAAAGGAGAGATGGAGAGTGGGTTGCTGACGGGCCTCCGGGAGCCCCCTCCAACCTCCCCGGACCTGACCCGACCCGGCATGCTGCTCTGCCCGCAGCAGGGTACCACCCGTGTGGGCGGTGGGCGGGGCATGGGCGGGGCTTCCCCGCCCCCCTTCGCTGTGATGCATGAGCTCCTCCGCTGTATGATCTAGGCTTCTCTGTCCCACCGAGCCGACTCTTCCCTCCCACTCCCCTCCCCTCTCCCCCGTTCCACCCCCACCTTGCTAATGGCATAGCTGTCTTCTCAGAGCCCCTGTTCGTGGAGGGTGCCCGCCCTTTGTCTTCTGGACCTAGCGTGCTCCTTTGCTCTGTGGGTTCCTTGTCTCCTTGTTTACCAAAGAAGCGTTTACAGACAATAAAGTGGAAACGTTCTGCGTGGAAGCTCACCCAGTTCTGGTCAAGTGGTCGACTTCTCTCTGCAGTTAGCAGCTCTTCTTGACAAGGAGCCTGTTCTTTGGTGGGGGTGGGGGGTGGGCGATGGGACCACCCAACTGGGGAGTAACCACGAAAAGCAGAGACGTAGGACCCCAGTACTCTCGGCTTTCCCTCGCCATTCCCGGCCTGTCTCCATCAGCCTGTCCTTTCTTTAACTCCATGTTCCTTTCTCCACCTCCGAGATAATGACAGCAGTGATCCCTTCACTGAAAGCTGACTTAAGCGCAAGGTCTTATGCTAAACAGTTGACCTGAGGTATCCCTCACTCCTTGGAGAGGTGCTGTGACCGCCTCCACTGCACAGACAAGGAAACTCAAGGTTGAAGAGGTTAAGGAAGAACCCCACATTTCACGGCCAGTGTGGGGCGGAGCCAGCGTATGGATCCCACAGACTGGATCCACATTCCCTCTAGTAGGGAGAGCAGCTGGGTGTGGCAACAGTGGGACCAGGTGATGTCCTCCAAGCAGGGGGCACCTCCAACCAGGAGCTCTAGACCACCTCCAATTTAACCTCTCCTCCTCAAAATGTAATTAACCCCACCTCTCATCCGATGCCTCATGGCAGAGGGCCAGCCTGGCCCATGCATCCACAGAGCTGAGATTCTTGAATAGATAACTTTTTAAAAAATATGATCATTCACTGTCTACAGGATGCATTTTTGACATTACCTCATTTAATGCCGCAGCGATCCTATGGGATGGATCCTATTTTCAGATGAAGAACCTCCTCAGTGAGGCCCACCCTGATTAAACTGTAGCCCACTGCACCCTCTCACCCCATAGCTCCTCCCTGGCAGCATTTCCCCACCATGGCACCATGAGCACCTGACCTGGTATGCATTCGGCCACTCCTCCAGCCAGAGCGGGGAGTCCCTGAGGGCGGCAAGATGCACCCCCTACACAGGTCCTGCCCCTGCCTGCTCCACCCACATACCCCGGGACCCCGTTCCTCCCAGCTTCCCCACCCAGTATCCCAACACTCCCCAGGATTATGGGCCCCCCAAAGACGTCAGGATGTAGTCAATACGTTCTCTTACCGGGCAAAGGGGAATTAAGGTCCTAGAAGGAATTAAGATTGCTAATCAGCTGACTTTAGGGAGATTACCCCCATGCCCCAAGTAATCCCAAGGGTCCTTAGATGGGAAAGAGGGAGGCAGAGATCAAGTGATGTACTGTGCGAAAGGCTCAGCCAGCCACGGCTACCTTTCAAGATGGAAGCAGGAGGCATCTAGAAAGTCGGCGAAGTGGGAAAACATTCTCCCTTGGAGCCTCCAGAAGCCCCTGATACTTCGATGTTAGCCCATTTTGGACTTCTGGCATCCAGAGCTGTTAAGATAAGTGTGTGTTGTTTTAGGGGAGCAAGTCCGTGGTAACTGGCTGCAGCAGCGACAGCAGATGAGCGCATGGCAGAGCCTCGGGCCACGCACTCAGTAACATGTTCGCATCACACAATGAAATGTGGCTAAGATCCTCTCTTCCGCAGCGTTTCTGGGCTGCGTGGGGTGATCCTAGTTGCACACACACTCTCAGCACACTGCCCAGCACCACAGTATTACCAAATGACGGCTGTGGGGTCATAGCTACCGCAGGTGCCAGGGCCAAAGTACCAGAGGCTTCCTCTACCCCCGGCTGGCAGTTCCGTGGCTGCCCCAGGACTCTCAGGGACTCAGAGGGTTCCAAATTTGGGCAGTCGTACTCAGTTTTCAGAGAAGGTGCCCGACAGGTGCACTGCCCTCTCCTGAGGGGGTGGGAGTCCCCCAAACCTGGCAGACACCTCAAGGGGACAAGTCTGTCTGCCATGGCTGAGGAGCTGAGCACCCACACTGATCCCCTGGCAGAGGCAGGAAGACACTGAAAAGTGTGTATGAACAACAAACAAACACATAAAGATTGACATCATTGGGGCGCCTGGGTGGCTCAGTCGGTTAAGCGTCCGACTCTTGATCTCAGCTCAGGTCTTGATCTCAGGGTCTTGAGTTCAAGCTCCGTGCCGGGCTCCACGCTGGGCATGGAGCCTACTTGAAAGCAAACAGAAGACTGACGACATCATTAGCCATTAGTGAAATGAAATACCATTACACACCAGTGGAAACCAAGTATCATTTTTAAATGCCTTATTTCTGTTTCCAAAAGCAGAGTCTACTAAATTGTGTGGATTACAAGGGAGCCCAAAGAAGAGAAAAGGCTTCCCCATAGAACCAGAAAATAGAGCAATAAAACATTATTAGTTTAAACACAGAACCACAATAAAATTCCCCCATCATTTCATGCAGTCCTATGTAATCATTCTTGTTCCACTGGATCTTGGATTAGCAGTCAGCTTTCATGACGCTGTCTTGCTCCTAGAACGGAGAGAGTCCTGGAAATCCGGACGCAGACCACAGGGCTAGTCTGAGAGGTGCTCAAGTGACGTCTGCTCAGAAGCCCGCACCCAAGAGTCTATTCTTTAAAGGCGTGATGGTTGCAAGTACCTGGTACAGTCATTCTTCATGAGACTGTAGAACCATCCTCTGACACACACACACACACACACACACACACACACACACACACACACACACACACACACACTCTGCAGGCTGGGGCTTAGAGCAGAGCCTCCCGGGAAAGCTTGACACAGAATACCTACACGATGACGAAGCCTGCGTAGCTGTGGTTGGTCCGTTACTCTCAACAGTATCACCAGAATGGAGGAACAGACAGATCTCTATGTGGGGATGGTACAGAACTATTTCCTAAGACTTTAGATGGGCGTTTCCCCTAGGGTACACACATGTGGGCAGTGAGTGCACTGACAAATCTCCAGGGACTTCCCCTCGCACTCTCTCTCTCTCTCTCTCACACACACACACACACACACACACACACAAATTCTTCTAAAATATATTCCCATTTCATCCATATAAGCTTAACTTCAGGTAGGGGAACATGTCTTCTGATCTGACAACTCCTCTCATGCAAATCTTACAACAGTTAACACATCAAACCAGCCTAATTATTTCTAGCATCCCTCTTTTAATAAGGAGTAAACCCAGATCTTTGTGATTTTCCAGGGCCCCTCTGGGACACCTCAAAGATCACTGTAAGTGTAAAAGATATCCTAGAAAGTTCCCTTTCATGTTTTTTCCCCTCTATTTATTACATTATTTGGGAAGGCAGACACCTAAAGAGTTGTCAGAAGAGATTTGGACACCTGATTAACATATGATCATGGGTGCCTGAGAAACAACCCGTTGGTTACCCAGGTCATGAAGTGCCAACTGTTAAAAGTAAACGGACCTGGGGCTATTTAGAAGACATCCGTCCCCATAAAACCTTGCACACAGTGTTCACAGCAGCACTATTCATAATAGCCAAAGAGGGGAAGCAAGTCTGATGTCCATCAACCGATGGATCAACAAAGTACAGCACATCCATACAATGGGATTGCTGATTAGTCGCCCATAAAATGCAATGAAGTGCTGACATGTGCTACAACATGGATGAACCCCAAAAACGTGACGCTACGTAAAAGAGGCCAGACAGAAAAGGCCACATCCTGGGTGACTGCATGTACACCGAATGTGCATGACCAAGTCATTGAGACCGGAGGTAGAGTGATGGTTGCCGGGGCTGGCGGCAGGGGTACCGAGATGGGGAGCAACCATTAGTTCCAAAGTAGGGACTGGGGATTAATTAGGGCCTGACCAATGAGGAATTCATTAATTAGGAATTAATTCTATCTGGAATCAGGCAGAATTAGGTAGTGGGATGGTTGCACAAAATACACTAATAATACACTAAAAACCACTGACCCATAGGTGAATATCCTCTTCGTTTTCCTAAAAAAAAAAAAAAAAAAAAAAAAGCCTATGCAGGTATGGATTATAAAATAAGTAAAATAAACAGGAAATGCCTGTTTATATACATATGCATATATACACATGGCCTGTTCATAAGGGATGAGTTTTTGTTCTTTGTGTTTTAAAATCACCTATTCTAGGATGGGACAAATTCAACATAAAGCACCAAAAAGTGTTCTGGTAAGATACAGAGTCTCTGCTATCTAGAATAACCTTCCATACTGCAGGCAATGATCAGTAAGCCAAGGAGGCAAGCCCATCAAACCTGAGCAAACTTTGCTAAAATACATTTCCGTTTCTCTTCAGATGCAGGTTTTATAAAGCAATACAAATAAAATTCACTTTCCAAACTTTATCCTTCATGTATCCTTTCGCATTCTGGAACAAACTGACACCTTACTACAGGGCAGGGAGTCTGCAGGGTCAAAACTATTTTCATAATAATGCTAAAATATTATTTATCTTAACTGGTAATGTGTTCACCATCTCTGTTTGCAAATGAATAAAAAATATTCGTAAACGTCTGTTTCGATTTCTAATGTGGCAAGTATCGATAGTTTTAACCCACATAAACAAAAGCTCTTTGGGTAATCTCAATAGGTTTTAAGAATGTAGAGGGGAAGATTGCATCTTAAAACATAGTGCTGAAGGAGGAAGGAAACAGAATAAGAAATGGCATAACAATACCATCTATGTGAATTAAAAATGCTTATACACAAGACAGCAATAATGTTTTGTTACAGCATTAAAAAAAAAAAAAAAAAAAGACACCCATTGAGCATCCCAAATGACTGTCTCCGAGGGAGAAGAATGGCCATGGGACATCTCATCCAAAGGGATTGCAATACCAAGAGAGGGACCCCGCATAGACCATTGATAATGACCTGCCAGGAACTGAGAATTGTGCTTAAACTCACCCTCTGCACAGGGGAGGGGGGATCCCAAGCCCCCCCCAACCCAAAAGAAAGTACCTGTGGACTCCCCCACCCAGCTGCAGCTGCCCAGGATGGAGCGGGCACCACCCACAGACCCTCTCATAGTCTCCCAGCACCAACTCCTTCCTGGAGATGCCTCACCAGGAGGATTTTTTCTAGCAAAT